GATCCTGATGAAGAGGCCTTAAAAGCTTCTCCTCTCTCTGCCTCTGTCCATGACACAACTGCACATTCCTCACTCAGTAGTTACCTCCTCCAAGAAGTTCTTTAAGTAGTTCCCCAGCAAGTGAGACTGAGCTAGAACACCACAGTCACCAAGTGAGACACCCCCTACACCAGACACCAACCATGGAGCCTGAAGGGATCAGAGCGGAGCAATTTGCTTCAGCCAGGAGACTAATTGCCAAGAGGAATTCACGCATCACTAGCTGGGGGAGGAGGGGGGAACCCTGAACAAAGACCTGACAGAGATGAGGCTCCCAAAGGGCCCAACCTGAGGCTCAAGGTGATTTCTGCCAGTGGGGTATTTTGTTGATAAGGATTGCAGAGCTAACTCAGTCTGCCAGGCATGAGCCTGCAAGATGGCAAAGCATTCGCTGCTGGCCCTGCGATAATGCTTACACTATCTAGTTATACAAGCAGTCTTAGGTTGTTTTCCTAAACCAGGCAGCGGCTGGCAAAGCTAAAATAAGCAACTGTTGTCTCACACTGCAGTAAAGCAGCCTTACACGTACTTTCCTTCTCCCTACTGATACTTTCCTTCTTCCACTCAGCCACACAGAGGATACTGATGCCATCAATGCACAAGCAGGGCACTCCCCACTGAGCAGAGAACAACTTGAAAGAGGTTCAAATTCCGATCGCTTTGATCAGGAGAGTGGCTCCGCCAGAGCCAAAATAAATGTTTACCGATAATCCCGTGCCCTCTGTTTGCCTGCGTGGCTCCCATTTTATTAGCTTTCCTAAGGTAAATTTTACAGCTGGAGTTAGTAGAGTGATAAAATGCACAGATTATTCTTCACTGCTGCTGATTTGCTTCTCCTCAATTTAATGCGGCTTTACCTTGAAAAACGAAATACTTTGATCCAGGATGCTCTCTTGCCCCTTGCAAAACTTCACCTCCTTCTCCTACCTAACAAACACCAGTTTGGAAAACAACCATCTGCTTCAGGGTAGGAGAGCAAGCCATAACCAGGTTTCCCTCCTGAATGCTTGAGATGCTCTTTACTAGAGCACCCAAATCAAAGATCCTCCTCAATATTTGCACCACTGCGATGACAGCGATCTGCCCCCTCTTTCCTGCCTCACTGCCAGCAGGGCTCTGCCTGGGCACCCCCAGGACCCCTCAAGTGCTATGTATAGCTACACAATCAGGAGCAGAGAAAATTTTTGGCATCCTAGGAGCTGATTTCTCACCCCACCGTCACTGAAGCAAGAACTTCAGCGCCTGCGCAATAGGTTTTAATTCAGCCTAAAACACAGTGACGTAACTTTCATCTGTTCTTTCTACTTGATTTATTCAAGTTATGCCTCAGCTATTTCCCATTCTGAAAGCCAAGAGAGACACCAACAGAAGGAAGGGGCTTTGTTTTGCCTCTATTTTTTCAAGTTCAAGCTGCTCATATTGGAAACTACACCAATCTGCACCACTTAGCTGGAGACACCTTGGTTGTATCTAGATAAAAATCAAAATTGAACCAATGTATTAACTGTGGCACAGCAAAAGGTGTCAGTAGCTTTCTAGTCCCAACACGGAGTTCCTATTGCTTTGCAGCAGGCCAAGAAATCACTATTCTGTCATTCATAAAATTCAACAGTAAGGACTAACGGTTTTGCCCCAGAGCTTATATTTATTATTCAAAGATTATTTTGCTCCCTAAGAAATAGGAAAGTAGCATCAAATCCAATACCTCCCTGGATGTTAGGGAACTGCAGATTCAGATAAGGAATACACAATACTTTTCCTTTCCTAACCCTTTGATCAACATCTCCAAGGGTAAACACATGACAAAAGACACGAGAGTTCAACGATACATCAGTATCTTGTGGATGATGAGTACAAATAAATAAACGGGCCTAGAGCCACTTTTACAATGAGCTTTGGTAGTGCAGTTGCAGAAGGTGGCAAGCAAAAAACACTGCAAGGTTTTTTCACCTCCAAGTCACTGCTGCTTGCTCACACAGCTCTCATGTACAGTAATGGTGACAATAACTAACTGCTCCCACTGGCCACCAGTAAAGAGCAATGCAGACACAAACCCCAAATACAGCCAAGGTAAAAGACTAGGACTCAAGTAGGCTTTTTGGTATCTCTGGGTTTAACAACACAAGAGTATTCTGCAGGGGAAAAAAAAATATATTAAAAAAAATAAATCCTAGTCCACCTGTGAGCTGGAAGGGACCTCCAGAGATAATCTAGTTCAACTGCCTC